CTCCTCCTCCTCCGCCTCCTCCTCCTCTTCCTCCTCCTCCTCCTTCTCCTCCTCATCTACATCCTTATCTTCCTCCTCCTTTTCCTCCTCCCTTCCCTCCTCCTCCTCCTCCTCCTCCTCCTCCTCCTCCTCATTCTCCTCCCCCTCCCTTCCCATCTCCGCCTGCCTCTCCGAGGAGGAGGAGGGGGAGGCGGAGAAGGAGGAGCCTACGTAGCACCCCGCAGTCGCGGATATGAGTGAATGGCGGCGGGGACGTTTGCAGTCTGCGAGGCGCTGAAGAAGCCCGCCGCGTGTGCCCAATTTCTACTAAGTGTACAACGAGCCCGCCACAGGCGCCCGTTTTCGCTAAAGTAATGTGAGTGGGTCGCGGGGTGGGTCGCGGGGTGGGTCGCGGGTGGTTCGCGGGTGGGTCGCGGGTGGGTCGCGGGTTGGGTCGCGGGCGGGTCGTGGGTGGGTCGCGGGTAGGTCGCGGGTGGGTCGCGGATGGGTCGCGGGTGGGTCGCGGGCGGGTCGCGGGGTGGGTCGCGGGTGGTTCGCAGGTGGGTCGCGGGGTGGGGTGGGGGGGGGGTCGCGGGTGGGTCGCGGGCGGGTCGCGTGGTGGGTCGCGGGTGGGTCGCGGGCGGGTCGCGGGGGGGACGACGCAACAAAACAAGCATAATCTTCGTTGTGGATCCACATTTCAGCCAGGCACCCAGGAACACTGAATGACCGTTCGGCCCCCTCACTCTGACAGACACGGATTTTCACATGTCTGGCGGGGACGCGTGTCTCCCCCCTCAATAGGATCCTGCGGCGGCGCATGCTTCCTTTTCACAGTCGGATTATTTATCCATCCTACCCACAAACAAACATTATTACATATTGCAGGGGACGCATGTTTTCTCCCCCACAGCAACATTCCTATTCACTCGGTTCACGCACACACGGATGATAACAGATTTGGCGGGGGTTCGTGCTTCCTCTTCTTAAATCGGATTCCTTTTTCAATTCGGCCCACAATCAAATATTATCACAACAGGGCGGGGGGGCGCGTGTTCATTCTCCGTGAACCGAATTCCTTTCCGATTCGACCCACAAAGAAAGATTCTCACATACCAAGCGGGGGCGCAACCTACCTTTCCCACACAGGGATTCCTTCTCGTTTGGCCCACGCACACGAATGATCACATACTGGACGGGGGCTCGTGCTTCCTCCCCCAGAATACTATTCCTCCTCATTCGGCCTAAAGGCACAGGCAATCACGTACTGGGCTAGGGCGCGTGCTCTCTCCCCCAGAATCCGATTCTTTGTCATTCGGCCCGCACACGGATCCTCCTCCTCCTCCTCCTCCTCCTCTTCCTCCGTCCCCCCTTTCTCCTCCTCCTCCTCCTCCTTCTCCTCCTCCTCCTCCTCCTCCTCTCCCTCCTCCTTCTACTCATCCTCCCCCCTCCTCCCCCCTCCCTCCTCTTGCAGTTGCACATTCGTTAGAAAAAAACAAAGGGGGGAGAAGGGGGGAGGATGAGTAGAAGGAGGAGGAGGAGGAGGAGGAGGAGGAGGAGGAGGAGGAGGGGGAGGGGGAGGGGGTGGGGGTGGGGGAGGGCGGGGGGGGGAGAGGGAAGAGGGAGGAGCGAGGAAAGAGGGGGTAGGCAGAGATGGAGAAGGGAGCAGGAGGGAGGAGGGATGGATGAGGGAAGAAAAGGAGGGGGAGGGAGGGAAGGAGGAGAGAGGAGGGAGGGGGTATGGAGGGAGGGAGGGAGGGAGGGAGGGAGGGGTGATGCATGAGGGAAGGAAGGAAGGATGGGGGAGGGAGGGAAGGAGGACAGATGAGGTAGGGGGGAGGGAGAGAGGGAGGGAGGATGAGAGAAAAAGGGAGGGAAGAGAATGGAAGGAGGAGGGAGGAGGGACTCGGTAGAAATCTGTAAAATGGGGACCGAATCATGTCAGTAAGGGCTCCCACGGGGAAATGCCGCAGGAGCACTCCCCGAAGGCGCAGCCCAGGCCCCATCAGATCTTTGGCGATGCCTAGTGACAGAGGCGATTGGCCGCTTCAGGGCGACTGTACGGTCGCCCAGTCTTCGCGCGAAGCTTGCAGCGACCCTGCACACTCATTGGCCGATCTTCCCGCTGCTGTCTCGCGAAGGACGCGAATGGCCCCCTCCAGGTTTAAGCCGGGCGTGCCCTTCTACAGGAGGAAAATTCCAAAATGCTCAAAACATAATATGGGACGATTTTCAAACTATTTTCGAACTGTTTGAGAATGATTTTGTTTCCCTCATTTTTCC